TGGATGGATGGATGGATGGATGGATGGATGGATGGATGGATGGATGGATGGATGGATGGATGGATGGATGGATGGATGGATGGATGGATGGATGGATTTATGTATGGATGGATGGATGGATGGATGGATGGATGGATGGATGGATGGATGGATGGATGGATGGATGGATGGATGGATGGATGGATGGATGGATGGATGGATGGAGTTCTGTTGACAAGAGCATGTTAAAATGTAAAGTTTGGTCCATGTCCTCAGATAATATTTGCTGCTGGACTGATTATTGAAGTATTTTACATCCCACATTTTATTGAGTCACACCGACAGAAATCTTTATGTGCTTATCAGGATCTGTGGGATTTTATTTATTTTTTGGTCTAGTTTATTTATTTATTTATTTATTCTGAGATTGTGTGTGTTTATTTCCCGTTGGTTCAGAGTCAGTAGTCGTTCCCGCTCCTCAGTCAGCCCTGCCCCGCCCACATTCACACCTGTTCTTGTGTTCTTCAGTCTCACCTGCCTCCTCTCGCCTCATCAGCCTTTTTAAACTCGTTCTTCCAGCTCATCTGCAGTCTGTCATTGAGCTGCGGGCCCTGTCCGGTTCTTCTCCGTGCCCCTTGAGTTCATTTGTACTGCACTTTGGTTGGCCTTGTTGCTGTTTTAAGTGCTCTATAAATAAATTAGTAAGGTATTTGTTTCTGCCACCTCTTTTGTTTTTGTATCATTTAAACATTAAATCTTTAAGTTAACTCAAGTTTGTCTTATTGGTCTGCATTCCTGACTCCAGCTGCCTTCTAGCGGTGACGGTCCTCGTCATCAACACACGAGCGAGCCGTGGAGATCCTCGCTGCTGCTGCCAGGAAGCATAAGCCTTTCTTTGCTCTAATGTCTGTGGAAAACAACAGTAAGCCTCGACAAGTGCATGTAAATTAAAAGTTGCTAAGATAAAGGAGTCGGGTAGCAATAAAATGTGTTAGTGTCTCTTTCAGTGCAGGAGTAAAACTAAACCTGAGTGAGCGTGTGGACGGATGTGAATATCCACTCAGGTTTTACAGCCACTCAGAAAGGAAAACAAATGGCTCGTCGGTGGAATATCAGTGTCCTAAACAGCCTCGTGAAGCTGACGGGGGATAATTAATTTTATTGGTGGCTCCATTTTCTCTTTCTCCTGGCAGTGAAGCCTCTGGTGTGCAGAATGTGATCAGTATTCGTCTCCGGTTGTCTGTAAACTGAGAGAGAACTGTGGCACTGACCCTATGGGTGCACGCAGATCCCAGTGGTTCCTCTCTCTGCCGGCTGTCACCCCCCATGTCCCGCCAGTGGCTGCCTGTAATTAAGAGTCACACACTTGTGAGCGTGAGTGTGCATTTATCTCAGCAGCCGTACACTTAGAAAGTATAATCTACTTTATTTGAGATGCAGGAAAACTGAAGAAAACTTAAATATAAGAAACAAAAAACACAAACTGGAAACAACTGAATTCACTGCAATTAAATTACAGCTGACTGAACATGATGTTGAAAGAAAAGAAGAAAACACTTAAAATAATTAAGAGAAAAATGTCAAGTTTCAGCTTTGAATGGTTTTACAGAAGATTTTCCTGCATGTTTGAGAAGTTTTAAATCTGCTTTGTTTCCTCATAGGAAGGAAATTAAAAGTTTCTTGTTCAATTATCAGAAAAGTGCAGAAATTATCTTTGAAACTCCACTAAATAAAGAAATGTCAAACAAATTAGCTGCAGTTGTAATTAGTGACCAATAATTTCAGAGATTAATCACATTAATGTATATCATACACGTTTTTTTACTTTTGTTTTTAAAAGAACAAAGTATTTAAGAAATACTGGGTTGCTTCTTCAAGCAGTTATTACAAAATATATTAGCATTTGTAGAATAGACAAATTGTAGAAATCATTAAAAAAAGTGACACTGCATCAAACTAATGATCATAATTTGATGAAATTTAAATTTAACTTTGCCCTTTAATCTAAACAATTATTTATTTATTCATTTATGTATACAGGTCATTTTCAATTCCAAACTAAAACCAGGATTTGTGTCTAAACCTAATTAGATAATGGAACCTAAACTTAATCAAAACAGTTTGTTTAAATGTTATTCTGTGGAATGCTATAGTCAATATATTACCTGTTGTAGATAGCTTTTTTAAAACAAACTCAAGTTGGAAAAAAGAGTTCATTCTGACCAGACTGACAAGCTAGAATCTAGTCCATCCCCCCACCCCCACCCCCCTATAACGTTTTATAATTCTACACAGCACACTCAAGTTTAAAACAAAATTCGGTCAGTAGATGTATCATATATATATATATATATATATATATATATATATATAT